CCGTGATGTAGCTCACCGGCCCAAGAATTGGAAGTTATTAGCGCCAATTTTCCTGTTACCAAGTCATATACAGTAAATATATAGAAGGAAATTATGGGTAGTGTAGTGGTAAGTAGCAATCGATAGATGGCAACGTTTAGTTCTGGATGAAGGTAGAATGCGTGGCGCATCTCTAAAGAATTGATCAATGCTGATAGCTCCATGATTTAGTTCTGATGACGCTATTTTTCTATAATTTTAGCCGAAAAAACGAAAGAAAATAGAAATTTCCGAGAACAGACCTAACCATTGCCAATGTAATTAAACGAACCCCAATGAAGTGAGGGATACAATGGTTGTACTATGAGATACAATTCTCCTGAACAACACTATTTGGATACCGTATCTACAGTAATTACGTAACCCACTCGTCGGAAACAAACAAAGTGGGCCGCCATCGTCGGGCCACTTTGGCGACTCAAAATCTTGTTAACGCGAGTAAAAACGTGCGGCGAATTAGCGCTGGCCGACCCGGCTGTCGCAGAGCTATCGCGGACATGTGGGGACTGAAATCTTATCTGAATAAACCAAACTCTGTTCAATGGCACTTCGCCTCCGCCATCTGAGCGGGCAGGAGGGCAGTTCAAGGGACAAATTCCCCAGAGAAGGCTTAATAAACTAAAAGTTCCATGGGTCCAACCCTCGACGAAGTTCTACTAACTTCCAACCACTTTACCAAGATTTAAAAACTGAACAAATCGCTGTTTTACACTGATCAATTCGACCAACAAAGCCTCAGAATCGCTTCCGAATCCTATAATTCCCAAGTCTACAGTTCCAGAGTTTCCCAGGCCCGGACAACCATATTTCCGGCCATAAACTAGAGCAACAATCATAATCGCCTTCAATGCCGACGAAGGACGGGGAGATCAGTGATGAATTCCGTTGTGCACGCATTCAACCTCTATAGGGAGGTCGATCACACCGGATACATAATAGCATACGGTGGACGGAGTGTGCAGAAATGCGGCGGTAACATGAAATCTGGGACCCTCGGAAAGGATCGGAGGGCATGACTCGGTGGGAATTCCCCCACAACTCCCACACTAATGTGATCAGGGGGTTCTCAAAAGTACCGGAAAAAAAGGAAAAATCCACAAAACACCAAAATAGAACCATCTCGAAGTCGCATTCATTCCAGTGGATTTCCATCAAACATTTCGGTGTAAGTCGTCCAGGGCAGGCCTTGGCGTTGAGAAAAATATTTAAAAAATACAACCCCCCCATCCATTCTCAACTTCCTACCACCTTTCCGGAGTTTTTTTTTCAAAATTTCTCGTCTTTTCGTTAATGACTGCAATCGATGTGAGAGGGGGGAGGAGAACTGCAGACGAATGGATGTGAGAAGTCGATTAAGCGGTCCTAAAGGACTTCTTGTGCTGAACTTGTGCTGAAATAGAACTACCGTAGCGATCAGGATCCTTGCCTGAACCTAGCGAGGAAAGAGTTCTGGGCTAGTTAACGTTTTCTTTGTGCCAAGGGTAACTTCACCTTTCAATCTCAATTTCGATCTCAGTGTTGCACCGAGTCTTTCAAATGCCCCTTTTTAGCCGACTTGCACCGGTTTTTCACATACAACCTCAGCAAAATTCACTTCCTATTTAGATCTATTGCTCTCAGCACAGCTAACATGATCTCAGCGCCCTGTAGGCTGTCCATTCAGCGAAAATTTGCTCGTAGCTATACTTTCAGCGCTATAAGAGCGCGGTCCAGCGACAGCGGGTGGGAGGGGGAAGGGGCATTTTGTACTTTTGCTGCTTGCCACTGTGACGAACCATTAAATAAAGATCTGTGGAATCTCGTAAAGCCATGAAGTGGTACCAGTCAATGTTTGTAGGTTCGTCAACTCTTATAAAGCACGACAACGGGAAGCAGCAGCAGCAGGGCAGAATGCCCAAACAACCCCTCCCCGTCGCCGAACTGTGCCCTGCACGCGTAACTTATGAAGGAAAAAGTAATCCATTTCGAAGCCTATTCCCATCGAGCCTACCTCTCATCTTTGCTTGATCAATAGGGAATGTCTACAGCGTTGAATGGCTCGGTAACCAGTTTCTCAGCTTGACATTACGACCTAATCCACTTAAGTAATGAGAGACCGGGCAGCCTCCCTTAGGCACATTACGACCACCACGAATCCGTATTAGAGGACAATCTCGTCACGATAAAACACTCGACAGCGCCAGGAGCTGATTTGCCGTCTGACCTCAAAGGAATTAAGGAAGGGGAAAGAAAAAAGACGGCAGCACGGATAGTGTAAACAAAGAAAAACGCCTCTTCACTACTAACTGGAGCTAACGAAAAGGAAAATCCTGAACATTTCCAATATCCTACCAAGAAAAAGAGCAAGGAAAAATATTGAAGGAATGAAAATCGAGAAGTGGGGGTAGGATTAGGTGGAATGAATACAATGAAATAAATATAAAGACCTTCACCGCGCAATTCGGCGACGGGGGGCACTTTGCACCTTTGCTATTTCCAATCGACGTGTCGACCCAACTGGAGAACCATTTCGTGAGCTTACAAGTTGACAGGTTTTACCACGGTGGTTCGACGAGCTCCAGCTTCACAGGAGTCCACAGGTTTCACCAGAACTTGTAAACCGGAACTAGTAAGCAGTAAAAGTGCAAAGTCCTCCCCCCCCCGCGGAAATGCGCCGACCTTCATGTACAGTTTCTATGAGACAAAGGAAAGAAAACTTTAATCCGAAAATCAGAAGAACCACTTAGGACGTTTGAAGGCAGAGTTCCTCAGTCCAGAACGTTAAACGCAGGAGAGAAGTAATTTTCAGAGTTATTAAACAAGTGGTCTTAAGAGGGAAGGAAAACAGGGAAGGGCCGAGATGTCAGAAGGGGAACTTCAGATACAAGACGATTCTCTAGGGAAAGTCTGAATAATACGAGCAGGGCACGTCCACCTTTTGAAGAAGAGTTTTTCAGTATACGACCCTCTGCTCCCCAGAATTTCCTCCTCTGGTGCGGCTCCTTTCCCGCACCCAATACCATCTTCTTGAATTTTTCCATATTCCCACTACCTCTCTGGACATTTCCATAATTCGAAATTTCCTCTTTCCTCTAAGAAGCTACCATCAAAAAATGGGAAAGGGAGGAAGATCAAGTGTACTTAACGGGAAAACCAAGAAAAGTGAACGACCTTCTTGCTGTGGAACCCCAAAGTACGACGTGTCCTGCTTGCAAGACATGATCGACCAATAAAAGTGAACATGAAATAAAATTCCCACAAAGTTTGAAGGATGAAGCCTTCGGCTTCAGTCAATATGCTTCTAGGATACGCCATGCATTCTACTCTCATTCTCAACCGTAGGGGCATTTCGAATGTGAAGCCAAGGTTCTCGTACAAGCCTGCTGCCACTTCACCGACCACGGAGAGATGGAAGGTCTGGTTGGCAGGAATGGCAGGTGTTCCGAGACTTGATCTCGAGACAGCGCGCGTGGTAAGCGAGAGCTACTCGCCACTGAACCACACATCTACAGGCTGGTTCCAACAGGATAAGCTACACTGGTATAGTGAGATGGTACTGAAAACGGGATTAGAGGTCGATGATAAAATGAATGTTCCTGAAAAATGACGAGACGATGATATTCTTTCCGATCTGCATTGTTCATTGTCTCACCTCAATCAGCGGTTTGTAGCTTGCTTCTGTCGGAACTGGATGGCGCCGCAGCATTGCGCAATCGGGATACTCGGCAAGAATCTGAAAGCCTCAATCTTCTATTATATTTTCTAAACTTATCATTAGCTTATAGTTGGGAAAAATGTGCCTACTTTAACTTCTACTACAATGATTCGGTAATGTTTGTTGCTACAAATGGAAATGGTATCTCTAGCCATGATCAGATGGTTCGCGTGAACATGGCTGTGAGGGCAGCACCACTATTTCTGCTTTGCGCCCGGGCCTGGCTCTAGTCGTCTGCGCTCCACTAAGACTGAGCCTTGTGGAGGGAAGAGATGTAGATGAACGTCTACCCCTCCCGGACTAACGTTAGGCGCCCGGTATTCGTACCCCAAGGGCGCCTGTTTATCGACAGGGGGGGCATATCTGCTTTCATTTAGGATTTTGCCCACACATCTAGGTAGCCCTTTTGCTCGAGCTGACTGACGTTGGGATGGCGTAACGATCTTGCTCCAGCTCTCGGCAAGCGTTCACAACGTTTTACCAAGGAGCTGAGATTTTGGTTCAAACCGAACAGTGGAAGTCAATAGTGATACAAACATGCCCCCCCCCGTCGATAAAGCTGCGCTCGTACTACATAGTTCAAGCACTGATGCTTCTAAATCTTCAGACGTTCGAATGTGCATTCTCAAATTTCAGAGCGTCGAAGATTAGTTATTGCCTCGAAATTTCCAGCTTTCTTCCCTACTGTATTCTGAGCGAAGTTAGAGCTAGAAGCAAGGATTTCGTGTTTGATTGATCGATCCACACCGCACAAAGAACTACCCGTCTCTTACTGCGCGCGGCGATATCACCACAGATACACGATTGTTTTTTTCCTTTAAAGACGCATAAGTACGTCACACCACATTGAGGGTGTATGTGACTAGCAGCCTCCCAGCTGTCGAAGCATAGCGGTTTCCCCGTTCAAACATGCGCAGGAATGGAGATACAGGACCGTGAAACACGCTAGTTCGTCCATGCTCCGCCCAATGCCTTTTTGCGGCGCAGATTCCCGTCCTTCATAACGGTTATGCCGTCGTAAGCGCGCGTGTCGCGGCTCCTGGCACTTTGCCAAGTCCTTTAATCATCGCTTTCAAGTACAAGTAAAACGCAATTTCCTGATGTGGATAACATTGGAGGTGCTGCAAAATAAGAACAGAAGATGATGACGAGGTCGAACTTAAAATTCAACTGATGCCACGTCATGCACATCCCTCGGAGGCGGGCGATGTCACGAAACATAAAATAAAAACGGCATACTCGTTAGTTTGATACAAGCAAAACGCAATTTCCTGATGCGAATAAAATTTTAGGTGTTGCTCATACTTCAAAATCCATGTACAAGGAGATGAAGATGACACAGGCTAGAAATGAAGCACAACGATGTAAATGTAAAAAACAAAAATGAAAAAATCAAGGAAAGGCAAATTAGTTGAAATCGCCTGTAAATTTCTACGATCCGGCGCGAATCCGGCGCCAAAGCCATAGAAATACTTAGAACAAACGAGTGGGACGCTTGGGCTGTTTTTATCATGTTTTGTGGGAATGCGCGGCCTCTGATGGATACTGCAGATGCAGCCGAGTTGCTCTTGAGTTCTGGCCCTCGTCATCATCTTCTGTTCTTATTTTGTAGCACCTCCAATGTTATCCGCATCAGGAAATGCGTTTTACTTGTATTTGAGAGCGCAATTAAAGGACTTGGCAAGAGTGCAAGGAGCCGCACGCGACACGTGCGCTTACGACGGATGTTATGAAGGACGGGAATCTGCGCCGCAAAAAGGTATAAGGCGGAGCATGGAGGAATTAGCGTTTTTCACGGTCCTGTATCCTCCATTCCTGGGCATGTTTGGGCGGGGGGACCAGACACATCGACAGCTGGGGGGGGGGGGGGCTGATTAGTCTCATACACCCTCAATGTGTTTGAGCGTACCATGTGTCTTCAATGTGTCTGACGAATGTGGATAAGGACAATACCTTTTCGGCGACCGATATATTCGCGAGCAGCATGAACTCTTCCACCATGGAGTGCGTATCGAGATGTTTCTTTTCTTGAACTGCTTTCGGTGTACGCGTCTCCCAATCCATGTCGAATCGTACCTGGAAAAGGATGAAGGATAAAGCTTTTGCAGTCAATCAATGTTCCATTGAGATGTAGCACGCTTTTTAGTTTTAAAAAGTGGGCTATATGAGTTATGATCGTGACCTATACCAAGCCTGTGGAGCCATGCCGATGATCTGAAAGCCAGTGCTTTTTATCCTGCCTAGAACGAATCATAGCACCAATTTACCCCCCCCCACTCCGGAGACCAGTCTTGGTTGGTCTAGGGCAGGAATCGAGCCCGGAATTCTGTCTCACCACGACCACACCAGGTGTATAAAGGGTGTTCAGATCCTATAACCACTTCCGCCTATCTCGTCCTTATCCTTTTTCAATGGTACTGAACAAACATTTCAATGAAATGCCAATGTCTACCTCTGATGATGCGGAGTTGTCAGCCGCACCGTTGGCGTGATGTCTCCTCTTGCTTCAAAATCTTGGCAGGTCTGCATCAGACTCGTAGACGAGTAGTGGACGATCATCGTTCTGAACGCGCTCATACTCCCAAATTAGCATTACAGATGCTGTTCAGTAAAAAGAAAAGATCCCCTCACCAGATTAGGGTCATCAATGAACTCTTGCGCTTTTTCATAAGTGAGTGCTGCCCTGGAGCATATCAGGGACTTGTGGTACTTGGTGTCCAAGACTTCTGCTTGCACGGATGGCCATTGTCCAAATAACGGAGAACGCATATCTGCAAGACCCAACATGGATTAGAGTTCACCTTTCTGAATGGCCCCACTGCCTTACCAGGGAAGTCCGCCAACATACCATGGAACTTTGAATGGAGACCTGGGTAGATCGACAGAGTTTGTAAGATTTTTAGAAATATAGATAGCAAAATTCAACGCTGGCATTCACTAACGCAACTCTTATGAGCCAGGTAAAATTTGCAACTGTGCACGTGGGGAGGCGCTTGGTGCGTGAGCTGTGAAGCATAAGCGAGGAATCGCATATGTCGAATCGAGTCGTCGAACGTCGAACCTTACCACTGAACCACCACGACTCGATTCGATGCACGCGATTCCTCGCTTATGCTTCACAGCTCACCACCAAGCCTCCACCCTACTGCACCATTACAAACTTTACCTGCTCATAAGTTGCTTGTGAAATGCATGAAATGCAGGTTGCAGTTCTGCTATCTATATTTCTAGTCTACCCTGGTCTCCATTCAAAATTCCATGATAAGTTTGCGGACTTCCTAGATAGTAGACCGGAAGCAATAATAGTTGTTTCTAATCACGGACCATACAATCAATACTGTTCTCTAACTCGACAGTAAGACTGATAGACTACTTAGATTACTGAGCTTAGTACTGACTTACTATTAGATTACTTAGCTGTAGGAACGGTTGAAAATTTGCCGTACCACAAAATTGTTAGAACGTCTCCTAATGGGTGTTGGTTCGAAGACCCATGCTGAGGCGACGCGATTACGCTACCCACTGTTTTCAGCCGTTCAGCGAGAAGCACTGTAGTACCCCCAAAGGTAAAACCCACTTGCGCCGATACGCTCGAGACATTCACCACGTACGCTCGAGACATTCAACATTCACCACGTCGCTCTCATCACATCGCCATAAAAAGGGTTCATGCTTTACGAGTTGGCGTTTTAGGAGAACCAGCACTTTGATGTCGGCATTTTGAGCGAAAAGAACGCCTAGACACCTAGTGGTTACCAAAACGCCGATTCGCTCAAGACGATGATTTGCTCAGAACGTCGACCCTCCCAAACTGCCGATTCTCTCAGAGCACTAGCGAACAGCGCCGATCGATACCTACACTATCCTTTTTGCTCGAAACGCCGATTCACTCAACGCGCTGATTCATTCAAAACGCCGGTTCTCCCAAAACACCGAGTTCCCCAGACATTAAAGACCACCGATATACATTACAATTTCTACTCAAAACTCAAATCAACACCTATACTTTCCTTCCAGCTCAAAACGATGATTTTCACAAAACGCCAGTAAGAATGCTGATTCTTTCGAGTCACAAAGTTGCGCGCAGTCTAACATGGAAACCCAGTCTACGTGCCCTCTCAACTATCAATCGCTGGTATAAACCAGCGAAGAGTATTCCAGTAATATTTATGCGAACAACTGAACCACTGACCTTTCTTCTCCACCTCTCAGAGAACATAAATTACTGCTCAGACGCTCAGGAAGCATATCAATTCGCCGATCACAGAGATAGACAGTTGTTGCTCGGCTTGCTGCTTCATCATCAATGGCAGTACCAGCCCTAACAAAATGTGTCACGTCTGCTATGTGGACGCCCACCTAAAAGCACTACACTACGATAACACATCCACTCACAGAGGATCAAAAAGTTCACCCACCTCTAACAAACCATTGTCAAGTGGGCGACAATGGAGTGCGTCGTCAATGTCAGTGCAGCCAAGTGGGTCAACCTGCAAAAATCAAAGTTAGGATGACGACTAGCACTTGAACAGTACATGTGACTGGTCAGGTAGCTGCCTGACAGCCATTTTACCCTGGTTATTTCAGGTAGATTCAATCTAAGTTGGTTTGCGTGGTAGGCACATGTTCATCTTTACCACTCTTGTTTTGTGGGGCTCACTCTACTAAGGGAGTTAGAGGGGGACATGAAATGGAGTGCAAGGCGTTCGTCTGTAGCCTCCTATGGCACAGTGAAAGGAGTAGACCACTGGTCGAAAGAAATGCGCACAGGAACCTATTTCATTAGGCGCAGTTCGGTTTAGAAAGGACACTCTGCTGGTTCCCGTCGATCACTGCCTAGGCCTCCTGTAGGAGGCATGCTTATACTTCTGAAGCTATACAAAAGCAAGAGCTTTGCCACTGTTTGCCCTTTACTGCCAGAATCTCTGGAAAGCAGGGGTTTTTCAGCGACATCCGTTTAGCCCCGATCCCGCGCCTCAGGCGCCGGCGCTAAAGTGCCCTTAATCACCAAATGCACTAAAAATTGGTCCCCAGAGGTAGTCTGACCTGCTGGACACGAACACGAACATCACACCTGCAATTGGGTGTCAATGGAGATACAGGAGGGACCAAATGGGGTACACGTGACAGCGCAGCCCTTTGGTAGCTCCTTGTCTGTACCCTTCCCTATAAGTAGTTACCCCTTCCTCTGCTAAGGTCGTCGGCAGCGGAAAGGGTGCTGCAATCTCTAGTCGTATTTCTCTAGCTGCCCTACCAGGCCACTTGACATAAGAGAGCTAGAAGTCGGCGCTACACGCAGGTTCGCGGCGCTGTCGCCCATAAAGCGAGCGTCAGGCGGTTTCGTGCAAAGCGGATGGGATATCCGCATTTACGAGATCAAAAGCTCAGGAGATAACTTTTCAGCTACATGTGCCCGTGCATTTACATTTGACAAGAATCAAAAGGAGCAAGATGAAGACTGTAAAATTGTCAACGGAATTTAGCAAACGAAACCACCGAATGTGCTAAATGCCCTTTCCCGCAAGCCGAACAGTGCCTCTAGTCACTCCGTCGTGTATCCATAGCTCGCCCCAACTGAAGCACTGCCAATCTTTCTGCCTTTTGTAAACGCTTACGTCGCTTACGTATGCTCTCATCTTGAGACTCGAACCAGTTCAGCCAAGAACTGATCCGAGTCTCAAGAGGAATGTTTCAATAGTCATTGGCAATTGATTCCTATAATAGTGCGTTTCTGGTGGCTGTGCTGGTGGAAACAGCTTACCAGCTGTTGAAGCCTGCAAGAGGCGAGAGAAAGGTGCGTGCATAGGTAATCTAATTTCGGGAAAGCTTGACTAATCTTCTGAGTTCCTGCCCCAAATATTTCCTATTCAAATATTCCAAGTTCGAAAGAAGCTAAGTGGCAAATGAATGAAACTGAATCTGAATCTCTGAGAATCACCGCGGCAGACTGGAGCCTTTTCAATAATTTACAAGCAAAACCAGCAACTAAAATCGTATGTAAAAACAATGAAACCTACCGAACATATTGTTAAATGACGCAGATCAACCCGAGGTGGCTGCAAATCTGGTTGCCAATCTTCGCTCGGCAAACATTCTAACACACCGTCAGAAAATGGAGCATGAGGGATATCATGCTCAAGAAGAAGCACCTCAAATCAGTAGTATTAACAACCCATCTATGATAAAAGAGTGCTTGAAGGTGGTTAAGGAAAGTGTTGGTGTCGAGTAATTAAGCCCAAAATTACCAAATAAAACGAGCAATCAAGAAACTTACTTCGTTCTCAATCTCGCGATCTCCAATCTTTCCAAGAGCCCGAACATAGTGTCCTAATGGATACCTGCTATCACGCGGCCACTGATCGATGCTCACCACAATACGCTGGTTTTCGAGAATATCCGCCTTAAATGAGGACTTCAATGAAAGCCCGGTGAGGAATGAATAGCAAGGTTCCATTGTGCCCTCACGAACACACTATCCCCACAAAAAGCAAAATGTGTGAACCAGCAAT